AGAGAGAGAGAGAGAGAGAGAGAGAGAGAGAGAGAGAGAGAGAGAGAGAGAGAAAGGAAGAAGAGAGAAAGAAAGAGGAAAGGGAAGAAAGAAAGAGATTCCCTGTAAAAAAAAACTTATGCCTTTGACGGACTAACAAATTTGCCGATAATTGGAGTATAGGTATTTAACTCCGACGCGCCTAAACATCCTCAAGCATCCTAATCACTAAAATTCTTTTCAGGGAAAGAGAGAGTTCGACCACTACACACAGTCGATCACGATTACGCAACGCACAAATTAGGAAACCACGATCAAGGCCACATCACCACAATAATTCGCACCACACAAAACATTAGCTAGACTTAGCACCAATTTTACGCACTTAGAGAATCATTATTTGTCTCCAATCCAGTAATAATAATAATAATAATAATGATAATAATAATAATAATGAATATCTCTCTATAGATCTAACATAAACCTGTCTACGAGCTATTTAAAATCTTTTTCAAGATAAACGTCTATATGCCTCCTCGGGAAGGATTGATTTGTCGGTTCGACTTGTTTTTGCCTTCCTTTTACGCGACTTCTCACTGCCTGTTTTATTTTTTTCTTTTTTCTCCCTTCGTTTGGTATGTGTAGTGGCTATGTAAAACGAAAGCAATAAGTTCTTAATAGGTGTCTATCGCGACGAGCCTGCGTAGTACGTAGTTTCCTTGTAACGGACTTGTCATGATGCTGTAATGTTGTAGAACATCAGTCAATTTACGAATTAGTGATTAATGTTTTGTACAGCTTCTTAATTAATACATTTAACGCGTCATTTTAGTCATTATTAATTGTTAAAAGTAATACGTGAAGTCACTGCCAAATCAATTGCATTTAACAATAGTCCCACACAAGCTTAGAAAAAAAAAAACGTCACAGTCGTAGTATCATACGCGTGTATATGACAGTTATATATATATGTGACAGCATATAAAATGTTTGTACTTATGTCTATATAATTATGTCTATATAAGAATCTATATACATACATATATATACATATAAATATATATATATATAAATATATATATATATTTGTATATATGTGTGTGTGTGTGTTAAAAATGGAAAAAAACAAGATGTTTCACGTATGAATGATCGTTTATATACTCAGCGTACTCACGCTACACATATGAATAAATATTTTTAGAGCAAATAAAATCTGATAAATTGCTGTGAACTCTAATTTAAGTTAACATTTCATTCGGCCATCACCTTACGTGCCGTAAAACGCTAAAAAAAAAGTAATGAAAAGGTAAGTTTTAAAATAGAAACATTGTGCATATACGTAATATACTCTTATCTCGATAATGTTTCTTCTACAAGCTTTTTATATTTTTCTGTACATTTTATATGTGTGTGTGTGCTTATATATATGCGCGCGTGTGTGTGTATATGTGTAAACCCTTTCTCGTTCATATTTTCATAGTTAATTTTCTTCGAAATAACATCATATTCACATATCCATATACGGTATTTCCACGTATTCTGTGTGCAGATCGTAACAAATTTAACACTGCGTGAGAAATTTAATTTAATTCATATTTCTTCGCGAGAAAATGAGACGTGTGAAATAACAAAACAGCCACGCAAATATCTCACATAACGTATGAGCGGAGGCTAAAATGGATGTACGAGTCGCGTTAAGTTCTGTACTAAACAAACGGGAGAAAGATAATAATTAACACAGGACACACGTCGCTCGACGACTTTTGCGAATGTGCGATAATCCTCGTCTTTTCTATACCTAATTTTAGGCTTAAGGTAGCCATGAGTTTTAACCCCGCGGACACCGAGGACGGAATCTTGATGTATTGTTCTCAAAGTGACGAAGGCCTTGGAGATTTTGCAGCACTGGTGATAAAGGACCGACATATCGAGTTCCACTTCGACATCGGCTCTGGAGAGGCGGTGATAAGATCCTCTTACACCGTCCAGCCCAGGATATGGACGTACGTAACGGTGAACCGGGACTTTAAGGAAGCGAAATTATCGGTGAACGGCGAGCCGTTCATGGAGGGCAAGGCGCCTGGAGCTTCGAGAACTATGACCCTAAACACTCCCCTCTACATCGGAGGGGTGGATCGCAGGAGAATCGTAGTCAACAAGAAAGTTGGTGTCGATCGAAACTTCCGCGGATGCATAAGCGAGGTAAGAGAATGATCGATCATACAACAGAAATCAATTACTTCAATCGATCGTCGGAAAGAAAAATTTAAAAGGATGTTCCCTCTGTCAGGGAAAATGAAAGTCGTCACACAACCCACATCTTTCCAATTGCCAACGTTTCCGTATCTTAATTAAATACGAATGAAATCTCCATCAAAGCGAATAATAATCCGCAAAAATCGATGTAATTAAGCGATAACAGCCAATTTCCAAGTATATAACGATAATTGATAATTCCATTTATTTTTAATCGCGATTATACGCGGTGAAAAGATGAAGAAATTCGTCCGATCTTTACTCTTTAATTCCGTACTTTTGTCCCAACAGCTTGAAGTTTCGTCGGGCAGTACAGACATACTGAAGTCGGCGATCGACTCGGCTAATATCGAGGACTGTTCGATGACACACCCGAATCAAACGGTCGCACCTACCACCGCGACTACTATGGCACCCACGCAACCACCAACGACGCCGTACAATCCGTGCGCGTCGAACCCTTGCGTCCACGGTGTGTGTCAAAGTTCAAACGCGCACGATTACTCGTGCACCTGCGAGTACGGATACGTCGGCAGAAGTTGCGAGAACGTGCTGAAACAGTGCGAGCTGCTCGCACCGTGCAGAAACGGCGGCACTTGTACTAATCTTCACGGATCTTACAAATGCGACTGCCGTCTCGGTTACAACGGGCAAAATTGCGAGAAGCGTGAGTACGCTTGACTTAATATAATTAAATAATAACTGGCTATACGTGCAATTACCGAAAGCTACGTTCGGACAAGAGGTGTGTGCCGGAGGAAAAAATAATCATACATTATTACGTGAAATTATATATGAGTGCGTGTAAATCTTGCGTGTTTGCAATTATATATGACCCATGTATTTGAATTATGTCTCTATATAGCCACATATACGGAATGTCTTATTTTAAATAATGCATTTTAATATCTCCTCTGTAATTCTACTTCTGTAATTTAAATGTGTCAAAGTGGCATCAAAATTTCGATTCGGGTATAGAGATAAAATTCATTTGTAATCATTTTTCTCCGTGATCTCCTGACGTTCCATAAAAAAAAGTCATGAATACGTGCGTGTATGTGTATAATTAAATTAATTAGAGTATATAATTATAATTGATATTTATAAATGTTCTTAATTTCTCTCTTTCTCCCACAGTGGCGGAAATTACATACGACATCGCGTTCAAGGGAGACGGCTGGTTAGAACTGGATAGATCTGTGATGACGCACGAAGAAGAACGCAGCGAGGTGTTAGGCCTCGAAATTAGCACCAACATGAGCAATGGGCTCATTTTGTGGCACGGCCAAACGCCGAACGATCTAACACCCGATGATTACATCGCCGTTGCCATCGTGGACGGGTAAGAAATATTGATAATCGAAACTATCAGGGAACTTAATAAGTCGTAAATTTATCATACTTATGATTGATTTAACGTAATCTCTTTTGTTAAAGGAATTTTAACGTTCGCTTAGCTGATCTCTTCATTAGAAATTCTGTTTTCCGCGACGAATTTCAATCAATGAACGGAGCGCTAAATTTTTGTCTTTCATTTTTGAAAAAGTCTTCTGAGGAGATCTTCTAAGGAGATTGCAATATCCTTGCTTATGTATGAGAATATCTATTCTTGATTTAAGACCAATTTTCTTTTTCCGTGTAGATACGTAGAGTATCAGTACAACCTGGGCTCCGGACCGGCCGTAATTCGTGTCACCGCTCAGCGGGTCGACGACGGCGAGCGGCACAGGATAATCTTAAAACGTCAAGGTAGCGACGGCAGCATCGAGCTGAACGGCGAGCACACCGAAAGCGGCGTGAGCGACGGCTTACAGCAAGTGCTGAACACACGAGGTAGCGTTTACCTGGGCGGTGTACCGGATTACGCGATGACCTATGGCAGATACCACGACGGATTCTCCGGTTGCATCTACACCTTGGAGGTGCAAGATTCGGGTGCTATCGACATCGGCGAGAAGGCCATCCGTGGAATAAACGTCTCACCCTGCACCAGGTGAGACACAAGTACGGAGTAGCGTGAGATAGGAAGTAGCTTCTTTAAAGCTGATCGCGATTTTCGGATGTATTCGAGCGACATTGCGATTCGGATTGAAAATTCGAACGTTCGTTTGAGAGAATCAAAGGGAAATAATTACAAATTATATAAGACGTTGAGGGGCCGAATAGTTCGAATGGCGCACACACGCAAAACTGTCCATCGTATTTTCATTTCACGAATTGAAAAAAAACATAAACTTCTGCAAATGTTGTACTCGTGATATTAATTTTACACGACAATTTGCCAACTTCAAGACAGTTGTTGGTAGTCTTATTTTTGCAGGGAGTCCTTTCAAACTTTAACAGCACACTTATCGACATGCATAATCTGCACATGTGTATAATTAAAAGGAGATTTACCGATGGCGATTCCGATGTCACCGTTTTTAATTCGATCGATCCAACTAGTCTTGTTTCAATAAGAAACAGGAAGACAAGAGACTCGTAGAAATATCATGAAAAAATTGCAAGATCGTTAACCGTCTGATTTTCCAGAAATCACTACGCAAAATGCACAATTTTTCTTATAAATTGAAGCCTCAACTCACTTTTGTTATAAGTTTTATAACCTTTATTACAAGTTGAGTCACAACTATCTGGCCCCTGGCAAATGACAAAAGAAATATAATAATTGTGAAATACACATATCAGCAATACAAAAGTATACGATCATCCGAATATTCGTGGTCTCTTTGAATAAAATGACTCTTCGAATGACTAATCTCGCTTTGGATGTGATTTTGCACGCTGCTCAGAGTCAGATGGATCCCGTCTTCGTTAGTATTTACGGACGCGGACGCGGACGTGTTCGACGCGTTCGTACCACCGCCGCCGGTGAACATTATTCATCCGAAACCCGCGGCCAATCTGGCCGCGCACGGCGTCACGGGTTACTCGTTGTTGATAGTACTTCAAAATTTCGTCGCTTTAACTAGAGATCTTAAGGGACAAAGTGTACTTTTCGCGCTGCTGTGCGCTGTAGACGCGGTCAACATTCTCAAAAGCTTGTTCAGCTAAATAACAGAGTATCGTACAGCGGGAAGTGTTATCGTCGATCTAGCTCGTCGGAAGTGCACGTATCTTCTTCAGACCAAACTCCGCAATTCGATCATTCGATGCGCCAAGGTGTACAGTGTATTCCGAAAGGTGTGCATTTCCGCGAGTTTCCGCATACGACATGTACAGCTGATAGATTTGTATAAATTATATGTAAATTGTATTTAAACGCTTGGCCGGCATCGCGGAAGCAACGCGACGAGACTACGGTACGTCATTCTCAGATTATACACACATTTATATATTCGATCAAATTTTTTTCTCGGATTCACGTTCGTTGTTGGAGCGGTATATTAATGTACTTATTGCGTGGACTGTCACAACATATCGCCGGATAGGCGAACCTGCGTTCAAAACAGATTTCGAGCGGGCCCGATGCAAATTTTTGAGAAAGCAGAAAAGTGACAAATCTAAGGCAGAATTTGTTCTGTCGGATTAATATTGCCGAAATACGACAAAGTCTATATTGACAGGCAACGAGATCGCAGATTGGCGGCGGAAACTAAGAACAGAGCCCGATAGCGATCTGAAAGCAGTAAAGAAACCGAGCGAATCTTGCTGCGCAAAGTTTTGCCGGCAGGCTTCGCGTGGTTTCCGCTGTCAATCTGCTCGGATTGCCTGTCAGCGGCAGGCTTTGTCGCCGAAACACGAATGCAGACGCAGATAACTATGGGGTTTCTATGGTGTGGGATTCTGGCCAAATTTGTTCGTCAATCCGCGCGCAATCGGCGATGATCAATTTTGCTCACTAGGCCGCGTAACGCAATTCATCGTTAAGTATTGATTGAAATTCGTGTGTGCTTTATTTTGCAGCGATCGAACTGACAAACTTCCAACACGCGATGACCCACGCGGACACTGAAAGGAAGAGATCCGCATTGTACATTCGAGGAACGTACTGCGAATTTGTATCACCCTATCGAGTGGTAACACCCGCTTACATGCGTAAATGTCGAATCTTAAGCCAAATATATCCGTTAAATTTTTCACACGTAATTAATGTGTTTCGCGAAGGATGTTCTAAGTATAAAGGATCAAAAGCAAATTTAATATTAAGCTAATCAAACGTCGTTCCGGCATTGCACGACCTATGAAGGGCGCGGCTTCACGATTATGCAATAAGAAAATAATTTGTTTGTCAACGGGACATCGCGGAAATCGAAAAATGCGAGAAGTATTTAATCCTTAATTAAGTATCCTTCCCCCCCCCCCTCCGATCGCCCGGTTCATCAGCAAACGAGATGAAAAAGTGTGCGTAAAAGATACGAAAAAGTGATTGATGCTTAACGAGAACGTATGTGAACAGTTTTATATACGTAGATATACAGAGTCTATTATCTCTTGTAACTCACATATATCGAGATATTTTATAATTAACGTGACTTTTTATACTGCCTTTTATTTGCACGGAGACATATATGTTCGATTCGCATGTAATGAGCCATTGTTTCGGAAACGGTAAAAAGTCCATGCATAATATAATATGTTAAATTGTCCAATTCTCACGTTTTCCCACCGCTAATAATGGTCACCCTTTACGTTTTACCCTTTCTTTACTCAAGCTTTCGCGACGTCTCACTTTTGCAAATTAGCCATGTATTACGAACAGCTGATACGACAACTACGGAACGGAACCGCAATTAACGATGAAACGTATATAGTCTATAATTTTTCACTGCCATATAATGATTTGTTCATATTTGTAATAAGATGAAACAGGTGTGCCGGCGACGTCCGTACAAGAGGATAAATATTATTCACTAGCGTATGAGTGTAATCAAAATTCTACCGACATTTTTATCTCTCTTATTACCGAAAAGACAATAAAATCTCGTCGCAGCAGAAGCATTTCATTGGGGGAAACAACAAGCGACTCTTTCTACGCGATATTAGGTGTCCGATTTTTACATTTTGAACAAAAAGAGCATACATTTATATATTTAAAACATACATTTATATATTTATAATGTGAAATATGTAAGCTGCACGAACGCGTTGATTTCTACTAATATTAAATATTATAGGCCGCCATGAAGAGGAAAATTCTCAGAACAAAGAACATCAATAATCAGATGGAGAATCTTATATACATATGTATGTATGTGTATATATAATTGTTAAAACTCTCCAAATCTAGATTGCACTCATACCTTGATGAATATTTATTATTTATCTTATGCAGGGTATTCCAGAATTATAGATGAAGACTTGACTGGGTAATAAATTACAAACAAAAGACAAATAAAAACGTCTTAACAAACATACAGCACAGACCTCTAAGGGAGGTTCTAAAAATGCCCAAAGAACATCCCTATGCCCTGAAGACATTCATCGAGTAATATTCTCTATGGGATAAGTTTAGAAATTAGTCGTTTTTAATATATTTAACTTTTTATTTTATAAACTATAAGTTGTTTCGGATAGTTATTTTTTAATTTTTAGGTGTTGTTTTTCTTTTTGTAAAATTTCATAGATCAAATTAGACTGATTTAAGGCTCCTAGACTCTCTAGCTTTGGCTGTCCGATGATGTCAGAAGCGACAAATCGCACGCCAAAATATATTACGATATATGTTACGGAATTTAAGTTCAAAGACATTTCCAATATAACGAGCTCTTTCATTCGCGATGGAATTGCGCGTGTTACATCATCTATACATGAAAGGTGTACCAGTCGTATCCCGAATAATCTGATTACCCACTTAAGTCGTTATCTATAATTTTAAAACCCTAAAAAAAATTCTAATACCCCGTATGCATAGATGCTTATATGCGATTTTTAATAGACAGATAATCAAGGATCGATAAATAAGTAATAAGTAATAAATGAATAATCGATCATAGCAACAACATCGAACGATCGTATGTATTTTTCGTTCGAGTGTGTCGAGAAGAACGATGAAAGTTGCGTATAAAAAAAAAATTGCGATACGTAAAAAGAATTGGTGCTAGTGAAAAATAGATCACCACTTATGTGAAATTTATATTAAATATGATATGAGAAACGCGCGCGCGCGCGCATATGTATATACACTAAGTGAGCAGTAATTTGCGTTCTTTAATATTCTCTACATTGGTGATTTCATGAAAGTAAAACATACAATTTGAAAGTAACAGGATCACATGAGTACACCTCGGATCACTGTCCAGGATAAAACAATGGAAATACGATAATTCATATTATAGTATATACAAAAATAAATCATTCAAATGTATTTCCACGTGACGAGCGATAAATGTGATTTGTATCTCTTTAAACCTGCGAATTATTATCTGGCATACGGATAAAATGCTTTTATTTCGATATAGTATATCATATGATTGATTCTCAATTGAATATATTTCTTTTTCTTTACGTAACTTTATGTGGCCATTTTATAGTTTTTTGACAATAAAGTAGAAGGAATATATCCTCAATATATAAATATGAGATACATAATATGTAAAAAAAAAGCCTGCCTTGAATGCACATTGACATCAGACCGTGTCTCTCCTACTCTTTTTTATACATCCTTTTATCGGCAGGTGCCGTCTAACGCGTAATAGATAAATTACTATATTTTTTACGGTCTCATTGTGTTCAATACGTTGTGTGGCGGAGTGCCTATTAGTAATATTAATTCTCAATTAATATATCCTTTATAATATGAATACGAGATATGTCAAATTCAATCAGCATTAACGATATATTCATGGAAAAAATGAAAAATATCATTTAACGAGATTCTCTCGTCTTGAGAATTCATTACGAGACAAGATATCAACGTAAAATAATGTATCATAGGTCCTGTGAAATTTTCTATGTCCGCTACGGCTCTATTAATACACTGTAAATGATCATGTACAGAAAATNATATATATATATGTACATATGTATGTATGCTTGTAGATTATTATATTCAAACACTTTAATTATATACCAACATCGAATGAATGCTTTTGGATGTTCATGCAAACGTTAATTATGTAATATCGCATTATAAGTATGCATATTATATTGTATATGTATAGGGTGAAATATAACAAACATTATAAATTGCAATAGCTTCTCTTTAAGCAATTACGATGTCAGGACACAAATAGCAGTGCTATCCGGACATCTCGGCTAAAAGTGAATTTTAAAATAGCAATTATTTCATCCTATACATATAAAATCATACTGAAAGTATCTACGGTAACATAAAAATGTAGTCTATTGTTATACAATAATTCTTCAAAGAAAATGAGACAATAAATATAATTTTGCTAACGAGCCGTGTACCTCGACTGTTTCATCATAAACATTTTACCCAAGATATGTTTCTAAATATTAAATTGGCCATAATAAGTCTTTTAGTTTTTTTTTTAAAGGTAGCATTTACTTCACTTTTGATTTGAGTATACTTGGTATAAAAACTTCACGTATGTATGTGTAATATAAAAGTTAACACTTCAACATATTATTAAGAAAAGAAGCGTTTTTTGAAGATGGAATAACAAAGCTGCCTGGAAGAAAGTAGTCGAACAAAATAGTCAATACATTGTTTCGAATTTGCACATAAAATGTTTTTAAATTTCCTTTAGCAAAAAACTGAAAGACTTTTTGACCAAACCAATACTTGGAAGTTTCAATTTATGTCGGATATTTCTCCAACATAAAAAAGTTGCCAAAAATGAGTTAAATATTGAACAGAAGAACTTTATTATGCAATTTCATTCATAATATTTACATATTGCTATTCTGTACAATCATATATGTTAAAACTGTTTAGTAACAATCGTTACATTAAACCTGAGGTTTTTCTGCAAATAAAAGTTTTCAACCCTTTTATTACGGCAAACTCCGGCCGAAAAGAGCAATTATTCTGCAATGGGCAATCATAGTCGCATAGCACAATACGCATTTAGTAGCAAAAAGTTTAAAGATTAAACTTATGACTAGACGGTACAAAAAATATGTAAATTGGCAAATATTAATTAAGCACGTATCACAAGTATAAAAAGGAATTTCTTTTAATCTGAATAAAGAATTAATCCGTTGAATTTAAGTTATCACAAACACACATGTACAAAGCGTTTTCCTTCTTTTGTCCGAAACAAATTTGGGACAACATAGGATTACGCCGATATTGGATGCTATAAATTAACTTTGTACCCAGATATATATGGAAGTCCAGTTCCTACTTTTCTCTGATATTCAGCGTAGTCTTCACCGAAGAAATCGAATAAAGTTACTTCTTCCATCAGAACACGATCGTGGAAAAAGTTCCATGACATCCACGCGTATGCGACAAAGCATAGTGGATTTTGAAGTATTAACTGTGATAAAGAATTAAATATGAGTATTTCAATAAGATGAAATAAGTATTTCACATGAGCACAAGATTATATCGCAGACCAGAGACACGAATCAACATTTTTAACTATTGAAGCATTGAGGACCAAAAACATCTATGCTTTAGAGATATTCTTTCAAGCTTCTCTCATCAGAGACAATGTTTTAATGAATAGTATAAAAAATATTACCAACATATTCATCAACTACATGTTTCAACAATTTTGAATCAAACATAACAACTAATAAACTCCTATGATTTTTATGAATTAACGCATTTATAATTTAAGATGTTTTAGACATATGTGAAAATAGGACATTCGTGTAATAAGATCACACAATATGCGATATGTTGAGAGACTGAAGAAAATCCTGAATTCCTACCTGTGTTCCAACAGACCAATAAAACCATCCGACATAACTGGGATGCCTGCACAGGCCGTACACACCATGAGTGACAAGTTCATGATTGTCGCTCTTTTCACTTTGCACATAATGGTTAAAATTATGCTTTGCAGTACACATCGCCAGTTTTCTCAATATCTCGCCAGAAATACATAATGTTAGGCCGAAATAGGATACAAGCGAAGGTAACTTCATATTTTGGAAATAATATCTTTCGACGGAGAATTCTAACCAACTAAGAGACGCCGCCACACCGTATATTATGCTATGATTGAGGATAAAACTATCGATTGACAAAGTAGCAGGATTTGCCCATGCTATTGCCAGAAATTCGGAATAATGAAAGGTCGCTAATACCGTCATATAAATGCCAAACACCTGCCATGACGACGGGGCGATCATTGATACCAGGATGCCGATTCCAAACGCATATCCAAGGAACAGCGCTCTGACAGCTACCTTAAAAAGAAAAAGGAAGTCTCAAATTCTGTCTAAAGTTGCAAATAAAATATATAATAAGATAATAAATATTTACCTGGTACGAAAAATCACGGAACGCCAGGAATGCGAATGCATTTATAACAGCGTATTGCACGGCATGCAGGAGCCAGACATTCGTAAAATATGAAGCGTAAATGTCGAGTTGCAATCGCGACAGAATCTCGGGAAAGAGAGATATTAAACCGGCGACAGTGAAGCAAATCAAACTGATTGTTCCGTCGCGGCAAAGCATCTTCTCCGGCTAGTCTTTCTTCTTCTGTACTTCACTCGTGGATTTTCGTTCCGTAAGGAACGTAATCCTATTCTCTCTCTTTTTTGCTAAGTTACTTTGCTGACAATTGTACAGCATCTGTTTTTCCTTAACTCTTTCTCGTTAAGTAAAAACGTACTTGTATCACTTGTATAATATCGCGAATACAAATATTAACGAAAATAAACGAGCCTGGAACGAACGAGATTATACACCACAGAGCTAGCAGTGACTAGCTTTCATCGCGCATGCGTGATGAGTTTAGTGAAATTTAGTGAACTTTGCTCCGATTGGTCAAATTTCAATTTTAATCTTCAATCTACAGTCTGATATGAGCTTTACGTATATACGAGCCAGAGAGGCGTACGATTTAAAAAATTTCGAGTTGGTAATATTGGACTCTAGGACGCTGGAGCCATTGTGCTTCTATTCTGATGATACATAACGATGGATGTAATAAGTATAAATGCGAGAAATGCGACACAGCATTGCGGGAGAGAAATCTATCCAAGTTGAAACATAAATAGAGATTGATCGAGTGTGTGCAAAATAGTAGAATTTTTTTTATTCCATGTTTATTCGACGGTTTGTACGCAGACGTACTAGAGTGCCTGTTGGATTATTCGACATTTTAAAACTAATTCTGTAATAATATTGCATCACTACGTGAAGTATTGCATATACATTCGCTCTTTAAACATTCTACGATATTATGAGGCCCGGTCAGAGACGACAACAGGGTCTGCAATACGGCATTTATTTGCTGTTGATGCAGACTGTAAATATTGGCATCGACAAAATACCACCTGCTACTTTGATTGGAGTCATTCTACAGGTAATCTTTTAACATAGTTCACATTAATTGAAGATTCATGAGAAAATCTTTGAAATAGGAAAGATCAAACGATATGTAACACTTTTTACTGTATTTAAAAAATCAGTACACTTATGTCGATGTCGCAGAATAATTGTATCATCACATGCGAGCAACTACATTATATTTATGAGTCTTATAAGCAGCGAATTAATATTGTATTTGTAAAGTTACATCGCCGTTGTCATTTGGTAGACTTTGCTGTACGTCGGATTGATCCAAGTGCCATGGAACGCGGAAGAAGTATGCATATCGGCTGTGAAAATACTTAAATATAAAAACTGGCGGTCATTTTTCCTCTCAAACTTCGAGCATGGATCCGACATGCATTTGTACTATAACATGATTTCTTTCATTCTGAAGGGCTCCTATTTGGAGCCTATCTATGGAACGATCAACTTTGTGTTTTTACTCTTTGTGTTATCAACCGGCTGTAGTGCAATGTACGTCTTTTTGGGATACATGTTGACTCAATTGACAGGGGACTACGGATATTACACGACCTGCGCTATCGGTTTCTCAGCAACGTTATTTGCATTGAAAGTGATCGCTCTGTGCGAAGAACGCGATAGATTACACAACATCAATGGATTCCACGTACAGAGCAAATTAGCCGTGTGGGTCGAGCTGATTTTGATACATCTGTTAGTTCCAAATTCCTCATTCGTGGGCCACTTGGGAGGAATTTTAGTTGGATGTTTGTATTCTTATACGTTTGTCGGTGAGATGGTTGACAACATGATACATATGATAACCGGCAAACCTATTATACACGAGGAACAATTTTACAGAAGTCGAAACACACTGTTCACTTAACGCATACACATTTCATGTGAAATATTTAATCGAATCTCGTTTATCACATAACAAATACAATGACTGCGTTCGAAAAACACGACAGTTGCACAACCGTTGAGTAATCTATCAATGTAATTGGCCTAAATTTCGAAATCTAACAGGAAAAACCAATGATCATTGGTCGCTCATCATTCGCTTTGTTTCGCTGAACGCAACTAATGATACAAACTTGATGACTTGAGCGGAAGTTTAAAATTGAAATTATAATTAAATCAAAATATTACGGATAGAGAGAATGATATATTCTTACATGTATATATAAGTTTCTTCTACATAGTATGTAAAGTACAAATCTTGAAATGTAAGATCTGTGTTAAACGAATTTAATGTTTTTTTTTTGTAAATTTTTGTTACGTAATTTTCGAATAAAATATTTAAAAAATACATATGTATGTGTGTATACAAACAAACATAACAAATCTAATTTGTACTACCTTGCACTGATACACAGTCATTTCTTTTGCACACGGAATACACGGTAAAATNGAGAGAGAGAGAGAGAGAGAGAGAGAGAGAGAGAGAGAGAGAGAGAGAAACGGTTTTACGGTATAAAATAGAGAGGCATAACTTCTTTTAAGCCTATTTACCTAAGAACGCTTTTACCTTTCTTGATTATTCTTAATTATACAGGGTTTCCCCAACACAAAGAGAACGTCTAAATATCTCCTTTGTTTCTAAATGATGTAAGAAATACATAAAATGATCCGAATATAATGTGAATAGTTTCGAAGGAGAAATACCGCGGAAGGAAACTTTCGTCACGGTTATTTTTGTGATCATCTGAATACTCCTCATAATTAAAAATAGAGATATTTAGATGTTCTCCTTGTGCTGGGACATCCTGTAAAGGATGTATACTATAAAGTAGCCACAAACTTCTCGAAGAACCTTTTTTCACGTCCATAAGACAAGTTCAACGAGCAAATGACTTTGTAAATGACTCACTGATAGCCGATAAAAAGTGGACAATTGGGAATTCATTGTTTCAATCTAATCTTGATGCGATGATACGCGTTGCACAGCAACCCGCGTATGTTATATATGTTTCGAAAGCTCTCGGGTTGAACGTTATAGGCCGAGTCGACCGCTTTTGCCCAAATTTCAGTCTCCTCGCTGTTCTCGTCCACGGGCAGATCCACGCTCCACAATGTCCAACTCCAATATCGGCCTTCCTTCGCCTTGAGATCTTGCCCCGACAGATCCGCCGTATGCCAAGTCTCGCCTTTGTCGTTCGTCACGTCGACACGAATGATCCTGTGGCCGCCACCAGACCATGCGTAACCTAGCGTAAAAACGTGAAATTGTAATCCACTTTATCCACCATATAATATATTTTCTGTTGCGATCGCAAGATTCCCTTTTCTTGTTTAATGACGTCAAGAGCGAAGGAACGTACGCCAAGATTTTTTCGCGTTACACTTTCAAATAAAAAGATGTATCCACAAAATGACACTTGCGATCGGCCGATTCAGCAAAATTTGAAATATTAGACATCACGAAATTTATCGAATCAAACTGCAAACTATATTAATGAAATGGGGTTAATCGAGAGAGTATTTCAGCAGAATATTTTCCATCGGGGGTGCTTTCTCGCTTCTAGCGTCATTAAACAAAGGCAAGTCACTACTCCGGAGCCTCGATTGCACGCAATATGGTAATTTTTACTCTCACCTTTCACCTCGACCTTCCCGTTTTTCACCTCGACTGCATCTGAATCTTGCGGGCTGCAAATCGCCGATATTACGGGCATTTCTTGTATCGCGGGCGATTTGGAAAAGTCCACATTGTCCCAGTTTATGCTTGGCGAGAAGCCTTTGTAATCGCCCTGCTGCCACTGCGACGGGCTCTCCTGCTTCGAGATTGTAATCTTATCTATCGATTGGAACATTTCAACGCGTAAGATTATGTCCACTTGTGCACGATCGTATTAAATAGCGTCTCGAAATTGTCCCATACTCAGCCACTTGACGTTCCTTGCGCCTACAACACCCGGAACGATCACTCTGACGGGGAATCCGTGATCCCTGCTCAACGGTTGGCCGTTCATCTCGTAAGCCAAAATCACATCCCCCCTAGGATCCATGGCTTTCGAAATAGGAATGCTCGCGCCATACGGTGTTCCAGACGGATCCAGATCATGCCCTTCAAACTGACCGAATAAGAGAGAATGAGAAACTAAAAATTTCCTTAATATATCTTTGCGTAATATAAATAGAAATATAATAGAATCACGCATGATGCGTCAGAAAATAACGGCTTCTTAATTAATTTCTGTTAAAAAAAACGCCTGAGGAAATGGATCGAGCAAACTTGTAATCGAAGCACGTAACTCCTGAAATATCCTGTACTTTACAGCGGGCGAATAAAAATTGGGGAATTTACCTGAACGTGACTGAACATGTCTTCATTGATTCCTAGATCCTTCAACACATCACACAATCGCGCACCAGTCCAAGTTGCATTGCCGACAGCACCCACGTCCCAACTTAGACCTCTCAGTTTCTTGACCTGAGAGAGAGAGAGAGAGAAAAAAAGTCAAGCGACTTCTCAGTGTTTCATTAACTTTTACGCATTCCAAGAGATGATTCTTTGTAATTGTCAATGTACAATCTGGATTTACCTTCGCCATTTCCGAACGTCTGTTCCCTCCACACATAACAGCTGCTGTTATCGTGTGCTTCTTATATCTCTTCAATTCGTCAAAATTTATCGTCTCTTTTGTTTCTCCTTCGATCGTTAATTCTAACGTATAGTCCTTTAAATCTACTTCAGGTACTGGCAGGTGATTTCTGACATAAAACAATGCGCTGAAAAAGGTCAGACTCAATGTCTGTGAGGAGATGTGTGTGTAACAAGGGAAACTGAGATGCAAATGATAGATATATGCTTACTTTGGCGTGTGGAAACTTTCAACCAATAGAGGAGACGGTGGTTCGGCGCAAAAAGGCTTCTGATTGTTAATTATCAAAGCTTTATGCCGGGAAGGCTCATTCACGTATGCATCATGCGAATCGTTTTTGTTAGACTTTGCATCTTCCTCGGAAATATTGCCTATTCTCATGGACTCCAGTAACGATTGTATCTCCGGTGTGTTGTGATTTGCAAAGATAGACCAGAAAGGATCGATCGCGCCTCCCGCAGCCATTAAAATTTTCGAAGGACCACCCGGATGCTTGTCCACAAATTCTGTTATGTCGTACACGCCTTGTCCGAAGGTAACCCAAATACGATTTTCCTTGTTATCATGTTTCCCTACTTCTTCCAAGGTGTATGTTCTCATATCCTCTCGTAATTTACCGCATTCCACATCCTGTGTTTTGCTGAGAGCATAAACGCTTTTCTTATACCGAAAGGTGTAATAAGATATACCTAGAATTGACGCAGCCGTGGCAACATATGTTGCATAGAGCAAGACAGAATCTTGCTTAGTCTTGAAAGATTCATTCTTTTTATCCGTGAAGCACTGTCGACGACCGTTAATATAATTCTTCACAACTACTTGTAGCAATGGCACTTGAGACCTGAAATAAATTAAGGAGGAGATAGTTTCTAAAATTAAAACTGCGTCTGTCTACGATAAAGTGGAAAAATACATTTAGGAATAACACTGTGTGATGATTTATAATAAATAGGATATTCTTAAAACAGAAAGATGATTGTGCAAATACCGTTGTCTCATTCGATGGAACATTTTCCAATATGATAAATTCATAGTCGAGTATAAACACTTAAACACTTTTTACTTGATATCTTATCCGCACAATCGCAATGTCAATAATGTCATTTGGAAATATCAGTGTAACATCAACAGTGTAACGTCCGGACTTATTTTGGAACATTAATAATATATTAGTATAGATCGGAGGCCAACTTGTCTGATTTCAGACATCACTAGATTAGATATTCATTAGGTATAGATATTTTATCCCTATGTTACTAGATGTAAGTACGTGCGCATATGTATATTCGCGCACGTCAAATATTATAATTAAAATTATAACGCCGAAGAAACGACACTGCGTGTCGTTAGAGAGTCTTAAAATCGATGGATCAACTATAGACAAGAGAAACCGTAATCTTTCAATGCGATAAGGCGTCCCGCTGTTAACATAAACAGAAGCATGAAAACTGAACAATCCAAACACCACTCAGGACCGACACGGCGATATCGACGCGGTGACATCATACCGATGAAATGAATTTCTTCCATCTCCATGACTCCATCAGCCAACCAGAAAACGACTCTCAGCGTCAAAGCAACATATAAAAACGCGCGCATTCGTTGAGAAGGCGATTATTTTCTCGTAATTAGTCTCTGATACTCGTGTACTTATATATTGTAGAATATATTAGTCATAAAATCCAATTAGCAATTACTTTTGTCTATCCTTCATTTTTCGAACGTTGAGAAATCGAAATTCGGAATCGCGGGCCGCATTCCCCATAGCGTAGCGCCGGAATACCCGAGACCGAGCCAGGAGAACGAGCGGCTCTGATTTCTCGCCAGATTCATCGACCAGATGAATCGCCAGACTCCGGAGACCCAGGGTAAACCCAGGATGAAAAGCAGAGTGACCCAAAAGCGAAGTCATCACTCTGCTGACCGTCCACGTAAGTCACTGATTTTACTACTTTCAAATTTCCCTATATAGTTATCTATCGTGGACGTAACACCAGTGTATCAGACTGATCGAGAAAGCTTATTATACTGGTGGGAACTGTAGTGAATTTTAAAAATAACTAAAGCCGATGACTGGCTGAGTTCCTGACTGCGTTCCAAAATTCTATTCAACGCGGGTAAAGATTCCCGCAGCCAACGTAACGCGAGACACGATATGCGATACACGATAATATCCAATGAGCGTACTGTTTTCCCAGAAAAACTACATTGGATATCACGTGTCTCATTTCTCTGAGGTTCGATTTCCGAATCAATCATAACTATGAGAAAAACTATTTGGAAAACATCGATGTTCGCTCATTGAGGATGCGTTACACGAGTTTGTCGGATGCGCCGATTGGCTGTCGGATAGAGAATTTCTAGAGTTCCCAACATTTTCTCTAGAGCGTAACATTACTCTCAATGAGCAATCATCGACGATTTTGCCCATCCCTTATGATGCACAAATGTTAGAAAAAATGATGCGGTTAATACGAAAACTTAGAAATTCTGAGTCTAGGGAAATTACAATGCCTAGGGAATGCGACGAGTTTTTTATCCGTGACTGTACATACTGTACATATCGCTACTGGGAACACTGATACCGAGCAGTATGTATCAGTATGTGTCAGGGTGCTGTGGTGTAAGTGAATTGAATTCATTACCACGGAGAACTTTTAGGTTACCTTTTTAATTTTGTAAAAAGCTTCGAATGTCGCAGTCTGGCTTTCGTGGTACTAAAAATCGGTGGATCTGCTCGATACTATCGATTTACATCCGCAATAGCGAAATAATGAGATAAAAATTAATTTTGTGCGTCGACTCGATACTTGAACTGAGATGGGTGACAGATCGGAGCCTTTCGATCGTAAGACTAATTTTGCAGAAAGATGTGACAACACCAATTTTATTCCAAAACAATATTTCCGATCAATCGAAGGTACGTGAGCAATATATTTATTTATGTAGCTTTTCTCGTTTACCCTCAGTCGTGAAATATCACCTATTTATCACAGATTGCTAAGAAATATTCTGTGTACACAATGTTACATTTATATATGTACACAACGTTTTAAAGAGAAACTATCTTATTCGACGTGCAAAAACTAATATATTTTTGTATATGTTTAACGTAATATATTTCTGTATGTATTTAGGATTAACGATGCAAAATAGTCTTGCGCAAACACCAAGTAATTATTATGAAAATAACATATGTAGAAGTAAAAGTGATTCAGCATTATGGAGAAAAGATGACGAAAGACCAAGCTTGGATCAATCGAGGAAAGACAGTATTAACCTAACGATTAATTCCGGCACTGGCAAAGCTATTGCTAACATTCCTGTCACAAAACTTCGAGGATGCCACCGGTTGTTTGATAATGAAGGCTGCCTTTTACACAATGACAAGTCTCTTCACGGTTTTCTCTCCAAATATACCAGTCTTTCCTTACCTGCATTATTATCAATATCATCTATGAATGCATCTTTCATGAAAGACGAATTTAAGAAATCTGACAATGACATATATACATACCGAGATACAGCAGCGTGCTTCGACGAAGAGGAAACAGTATTTAATCAATGGCCAAGCAGAACAAAGGATCTTCGGTCTGACTTGCAATGCTCTGCGAATGAGAACAGTATGACTGTTTGTAAAGTTGAGTCATCAGAAAGTGAACACGATAAGAGTGATGTTGAGGAACACACTGTAGCAAGTAACGCATCGAAAATTGAACAGCCTTGCAGAGGGACGGTGGATTCACAGTTACAAGCAAGTAATATCGAAGTCTCGGATGAGAAAACTCAGAACTGTGAGGACCCACGTAAGAAGAATAATTTCTCCCCAGCCCCGACGGCCCATGTACGAAGCAATTTAACAACTCGGCCGACACTAGCCGACGACAGTAAGCTCGTCAAAATGTCTCTCCTGGCGAATCCGATGAATATAATGCCGTCGAACGTTCAGCTTTTCAACCGGAGCCGTAACTTCTTGAACTTCATAACAGAAAAGTCGACGAACATTATGGAGAAGGCCTTGCTGCCGCAACATCTGGCGATGAGATACAATCACGTGTCGAAATCCATTGTAACCGACACCACGGCAGCAGCATTTTGCATCACTGACGAGCCTCCTGTGGGAGATACAAGATGTAAGTCATATACTGATTTGACAACAACAAGAACGAATTCCGATGATGCTCTTAAAGTAAAACGAGATCGCGACAAAAGCGAAGAAGATAAATTGGACGGTGCGATGAACGACGGAAGTAAAATCGATCCGTTTGCGTTTGTGCGGAAGAATAAAACGTACGATCTCGAGGATGAGACGGTGTCGGATGAAATGATGCATCATATTCTCGACAAAGATGACAGATTAGAGTGCGATACTACCGATAGGCAACGAGCGAGGCGCGATTTCCTGTCGGCAGAAACGGACGAGAGTAAAATTGACACGTCGCAGGTGGGGAGATCGCACGATGATAAAACGCACAGGACAGAATCGTTCGACGTTCGTTCGACCTTGCTGGATTCAGACACTTCGAAATACGGCTCGTTGGAACACCCGTTGCATCGTATGCTGTTGGCGGATTACGCCGGTTTGAAAGTCGAGTATTCGAAATTACGGGAAAAAGCGGAGGGTCTGGAGAAGTCAGACCGATTGAATGGGAAGGCGCGAACAAACGCGGATGCGTACAACTCGCAAGTACGGAACTTGGAAAAAGCGGTGATTAAATTGACGACCGATCTGAACGCATCGCTGGCCGCGCAAGAGGCTCTGAAGAACGAGTGTACCGCGGTGAACAAGGAAAAGGAGAATATGGTGATGAAATATGTAATCAGCGAGAAACAGTTGATCGACTCGCAGAGGTATGTAAAAACAACTGTATCCATAATTCGACCTTTTTTTAGACGTTATCCTTTTTTTACTTTTGAGTGAAACCTACCGATGAAGATTTAGAAGTTTAATTGTTTGTAACATATGCGACACACGCACGCACACGTAGAGCAACAGATACCGCAGAACGTAAGGTGAAAGAACTTGTGAAGGATCAGGAGGCGCTGCAATACAAGTTGCGTCAAACGCAAGGCGAGCGTACAAGAATATGCAGCATCTTGGATACGAGACGTCGTGAAATAGCTGATCATCAGAAAGAGATAGAGAAATTGAAAGAAGAGGCTAGAATGAAGGAGATCCAATTTAAGTGGGCGCTCAATAAGCTCAAAACTGAAACGGACTCGCAGAAGGATACTCAACAGAAGCTGGACAAAGCTTTGGTAAAGTAGAACATGCGCCGCAATATTGTTTCTCTGTGATCGTTAGGGAGGGAAAGAAAAAAAATTCTCTAACAGAATTGTAAATATTATTTAGATGTATGTTGCAGATGAAAATTAACGATATGAAAGAGGAATGCGAGCAGATACGTCGGGAGACGCAGGAATCGTTTCGTAAATTTCAACAGTCCGAGGAGAATAAAGCCGTAACGTTGGATCAGCAACTGAAGGAGCATCAGGCGCGTTTGATCCTAGAAAGGCACGTTACAGAGGATAAGGAGACGCTGAGGCTTCAGTTGCAGAAGAAACTGGAAGTTTTGAAATCTAGACAGCAAGATCTTATTGAAGAAAACAAGAGGCTTAATATAAAAGTTCAAGAATCGGAGAAAGTCCAATTGAACTACGAGAACAGTCTAAGTGACCTGAAAATTGTGATGAAACAACGTAAGGAACAAATTACCGACTTGTCAAACAAAGTATCGCACTTAGAGACATTGAAACTTCAATTGCAACAGTGAGTATATTATATTATGTTACATCCTATATTGTCGTATCTTCGGAATTTACTTTATAGAGTGTCTGTCGCTAAGTGTCTCATCTATCATATATTTGTGGTCGGAAGGCTGTTAAATCTTATGCCTTAAGAATTTGACGAATCACAGTCGATTATTCTCCTCACATTCGACTGTGATTGGTCAATTTCTTAAGGCTTAGATTCTTATTGTAGACCCCGCTTTAAATGTCGCTTTTGCTTTAATACGGCAAATTTAAAGTTTTAAGTTTTTGGGCATACTTTATGCATGTATCTCTCAGAAAAAATGTATTTGAAAATATATTTACAAAAAAGGGAACTTTTAGTTACACAAAGTATTTGTTTCATTTATGCAGCAAAGAAGATTACATAGCAACGACCGAAGTTGAAATGCAACAGCTACGATCGGCCAACGAGGAACTGCAATCCGACATGCACGCGTGCCGTCAGAAGGAAGCGGATATGTTGGACTTTACGCAGAAATTAACGGACAAAAACGTACGCCTTCAGTCCGAGTTTATCGCGATTCAGAGGAAGGCGGATTATCTCGAATCCGAACACGGTCCGCTACGTGACCGCATTAGTGAATTAACTAGCAAAGTCAAAGCTTTGGAAAGGGACTTGACGGAAGAGCAAAGAAAACGAAAGGAAGAATGCGAGCTCTTGGCTAAACACGTCGCCGAGCAGACTCAGCTTGCGCAAAACATTGTCCAGAAATTTGAGGATAGTCAAGGCGAAAATGCAGTATTAAAGAGGAAACATCAGACTTCCATCAAGGAAATGACACGGGAATTGCAGCAGTGCCGTAGAAAATTAGAGATGTTCGAGGCTGCGTCTCCTAGTAATTCCTTGGATATTACATCCAGAACTGGATCCAACACTTCTCTAAACACAGGTTCGACTACTTAATAAGTATTTGAGACTGAATTATTAAAGGACAACGCGGTTTTATTCGTACATCCCTTTCCCAGGCGATACATTAAACGGTGCCTTATCGGATAACAATGCTAATGGCGACCATGTTCATTCAGTAGAACCTAATAGACAAGTACTAATGGATCACATTATAAAGCTACAAGAGATAAACGCAAAGAGGGCCGAGAAAATAGATTTTTTAGAAGGCCATATCCAAGAACTGCTCGAAGAAGTGCAGAAGAAGAAGAAAATAATACAGAACTATATTTTACATCAAAACTCCGGCGCTTTGGGGTGTAACGAAAGAGATAGGCATAAGGTATGCGCGTTTGATTGGTTAATCATATTTCACTTCAGTATCCGTAAACATCAAAAGAGAGAGAGTGCCGTAAGAATGTTCACTTAAACTACCTATTCTAATACATTCTAGTACAAAGGAGATACAATTTTATTTGAGAATTTAATTCGAGTGTTTAATATGGGGAAAGTGTGATAAATATACAAAATATATAACATATTTAACTTTTGTATACTTGTACTCCTAAAATAACGACAAAATTATATTAAATTGTGCCAATAATAATAATAATAATAATAGACAACATTATCTTTTGCAATCAAGCATGTCAAGAGCAGAAGGGACGCAGTAAGTGTCAGAAAATGTAGCTAATGCATATGTATGAAAATACATCAGAAAGCATATATTAATCAAGCAGCATTATCAAATACTGAGGAATATTAAGAAAATATACAGTGTGTGTATTTTATTATTATATACAGAGTGTCCGGCGCGTGCCAAACCGTATGAAACATGTACATCATGTCAGGTTGAAAAATAGGACCGATATCATTCTGTAAAGGCCACATAATCAGAGTTATTAACGAAAATGGGCGAATTAGTTCGCCTATTTATTTTCGTAAATAACTCAAGATTTACTTTATTTTACGTGATAGTTTACAAAATGACTTCGTTCTTTAGCTTGACCTGTTATATGTGTTTTGTATGGTTCAGCATGCGTCGAACACTCTGTATAAAGAAATATATATTGTTTTTTTTTTTTTTAATTGTACAGGCGGAATTGGCGCGACACGGAGGTATAATGGCGTCCGTTTACAATCATCGAGTTTCGGACGAGAATATGACTCTAGACCTTTCTTTAGAAATAAACCAAAAATTACAAGCGGTTCTTGAAGACGTGCTATTGAAAAACATCACTCTGAAGGTACATATCTCAAGTTAAAGTTTTATAAAAAGGAAGAATTATTGTATTTATGAATTATCAAGAAACATGATAATTATATAATGCAGTGTATGTGTGTATCGTTTAGGATTGATGTAATGCTGTAAATGTTACATTCTATGCTCATATTCTGTTGTTTTATTATCTTTATAGGACAATATCGATACATTAGGCAAGGAGATAGCAAGATTAACGATGCAGTATCAACAAAGACAAATTGAAAACTAATAACTGTTACATATATATATATATAAGTGTATATGCGTATATATACATATATATTATAGAGAATGGTGATTTAACGGCATTTCACTTACTGTTATTTTAAGTTATGTTAAATAACTTGTTATTTTTTTTTTCGTCACTATACAGATCAGTTATGTATATACACATATGTTTGATGTTATATTTAATATAATAAATCCTTATCTTAAAGTCGACGTTACTTGTTTTAAGGAGTACAAATATTTTTAGAATTTAAGGATAGTTCGGGAGGTGTCAAGATGTCGAACCACGAACTTGGTAAATAAATGTTTATTTTTGCAAGTTTAACTAAGTTGATTTAGTTTCTAAAGTTACTTACATCTAGAGGCACTAGTCAAGCTTAAAATCTAGCTGACTACAAATTTATATATCGCACCCGGCTAATATTGTTGTTTTACGCTTGGGCTTCCGAACACAGTTCGTTTGCCCGAGCGTATAATGGGTGAAAGATTACGAATCCAAGTGGAACCTTTCGACTAAACCTAAGTAATTAATATTAAGTATTTTCTTTTTTAAACTTACTTTGAATTATTTATTTTGAGTATTGTGAATGAGCGATTACGCGTGTACGTAAGATACTTGCTAAAACTTGCACTTTTACGATGGAAGAAGAGATCAAGGGAACCGATAATACACGTAGTTTTCCCCATAAGATTATCATCGATCGGCAAGAGACCCTATAAAAACTGTATACTCATTCCTTCCGTATTGCGCATTTGGATAATCAGGTATCACTTTTATACGCCTTGCACTCCTGATATCCACAGTCAGTTGTGAAGTTGCTTTCGAAGGGTATAACCTCTCNCTCTCTCTCTCTCTCTCTCTCTCTCTCTCTCTCTCTCTCTCTCTCTCTCTCTCTCTCTCTCTTCAAATAATCGGTAAGGTCGTCAAAGTGCTACATATATTGACATTGACAACTAATACTGCAATAATAGAGTATAAGAGAATGCCGGTAGGTAGATTTAATATATTTACTTTAGTCGTTTTAAATTTTACATACGATAAAGAATTGCTATAGAAATAGTTAATTGATGCCTGCTTGAAATTTTATGCTGTATGATTTCTTTTTGTAACATATCGTAATCCGTGTTTTATGATTAATTCTGCAATTTTCAAGCCGTACGGATGTGCGTTTATATCACTTGAAATATTTGCTCGTGTGATTGATTGAAACAAGGTTCCTTTATTTCAGCAGTTTATTTTTCGATAAAATTTTGATTTTGATCATTTTTTCAATTTTAATTTCACGTTGATTCCCGTCGTGATCCATCCTTTCCATACGATAATACTGCACGACCGAGAATAAAATATTTTTTTTTATCGTAAGAAAAATAAGAGATTTCCACTTCAACATAAGTAGATATAATACAAAGACGTCTACTTAATTTTTTAATACTTTCGTATTCTTCTTTCTTCAATAAAAGTCACTACATGTGCACAAATATACAGAAATATTATATTTCTCTTTTCTTTTTCTCTTCCTTACGTGACGTTCTCTCTTAGAGAAAACATGATTATCTCTGCACTAGTTTCAAACAGGCATAACTTCAAAGTCCAAAACCATTTATTATTATTCTCGTGATTACTTTCGTGCTACATATCGTGTGAGATAGACAAGATTTCTAGAGCAACTTTCTAGAGTTAAGTTAGTTTAAGGATCGAATTGCGATCGACTAATGGAATGTCCGATTAATATTTAGGAAGTGTACGAAGAAACGGGTCTCAAGGAAGTTAGCAGTAGTAGCAAAATCCAAAGCAAGAAAAATTGGAAAAAGAAGGGATAATTATTCAAAATCCTCTCGAGTGTTTACATTTCCGGCAAAATAATAAATTAATTTTGAGGTATAAATATTAGACTCACAATATGAATAATTCAACGTAGTCGGCACGTTGAATTCCAATCAATGTATCAACATCACCGGCCATATCACGGTTATTAAACATCTATAATAATAATAATGAGTATTTAAATCACATGACGGTAAAATCACGGTACAATTGAAAATTGTGATAAACACCTGAGCGTAAAACTAATCTACATTTCTGATCTATGTCGCTCACACGTGGAATGCATCCGCTTTTTCCATTGTACCGCAAATCACACCCCGATACAATATACAATGCGAACAATTCGTTCATAAGTCACGATAAACAATAATTTTGGTATTTCTAATATATGAAATAAATAAATGGAGACTATTATTATAAATTTTCTAACGCGGCGCGTCGTTTTACAACAAGCGATAATTATACAAATTATACACATACGGCAACGAGATTTTCTTTTTTTCTCTTTTCTGACAATATCGTTACATGGACATTACAAATTCGAATGTAACACGTAGATCACGTACTCGTAGTTTCGAGCCCTCGAAGTTTAATCGATAGTTAGCCGAGGAATTGCGCGGTGAAATGAACACGTTTTTGCCGATCGCTGCTGGCAGTACTGTCTCCATTTGTTACACTCGAATTCGCGAATGTGCGCTTAGCAATAAATCCGAGCCGACGCAAAGCTGTTCTCCTAACAAAATAATAACTTTCTTGTACGACTTACACGATCGCTGCCTCTATGCTGCCGCGGATGCATCGAAAATAGTTTCTTATGATTTTATTATTTGTTAACTACTCGAAATAACTATACAGAGTCGAACATATATGGGGTATCCTGTAACTGGTGACATGACATTGACCATCATCATTAGAAAGGAAGCCGATGATCTTGCCGAATGAAAAGATGTCCCGAAGGTACGAAGTAAATTTCTCTATCTCGAGCAACGCTCTCGCCAAAAAAAAAAACTTCAGACATTAGAAAATGAATATATCTCTTTTTCTTCTTCTTGAAATTTAAATAATGTAAAAACAACATTTTATCTGCCTTACTCCGTATAAACACGGATTTACTTTCCGGCCCGTATTCATCTTCGTGTTTGTATCACCAGTTATGGGATGACATTCGCGTATGTATATATGTTGTATATCAGTGTTACATCAGCAAAAGCCCCCCAACTACGCCCCCATCGACATTCGACATTGCACTGTTGTACGCGAAGAGTCGAGAGCGATGTAGTAGTATCGGTAGTACAATCGTTGAAGAGTTTCTTTCGTGGACAGTACATCATCGCTTTCGACTTCATTAACTTGCTAGATTTCGTACGTAGCGAGGCATTTTCTCCTCTCTTTCCTCGCTGCTGGATATCGAAATCCGACTATGCTTTTTTTCTCTTTTTTTTTCTTTCGACGAAAACACACACTTATTACAAAACTAGAGAACACAGACGAAGGTAAAATAAAAATTCGTTTGAGCCGTTGATGCGTATTGCGCTTGGCACGAATACACGACTGCGGTGTGTCGTGTATTATTAACACAAGTATCACTGCACACAAATCTCTTCATTACCGCACGCAATCTACTACAGATACGCCCGTACGCGAAGGAGGAGAAAACGTATCAAGTATATTTTAAGTCTGAGAGATTAAGAAGACAAATTAATTCTTAGACACCATCGGTGGTGTTTATCTTTGCACTTTTTTTTTAGTAACCCTTTAGTAACCCTTTAATAACCCTTGCTAATAATTTCCAGCACAAATACATAATTTTTTTTCTCATTGAACGTAAAGATGAAAAAAAAAGAAACTTGTTTGACATTAATCGTAAAATCTTATATGTATATTTATGTCGGAACAATTGCGCGTTGCCACTTACGCTTAAGTTAAACTCTTACGCTTACGTTAAGTTCTTTCTCTTTCTCTCTCCCTCCCTAATTCCTACAAAGTTATACATTCACTCGAGAAAATAATATTTAATGTTTCGCTAACAATCGCCTACATTGCATCCTAAAAAATAATTATTTGGTGTCTTTTGTTCGTATTGGACTAAATAAAACCAACCGAGTTCTTTATGCAAAACTGGACCAGCACCGGGCAGTGTGTCACTACGGCAGAATTGCATTAATCGTAATACTGGCACAGTGAGGCAATGACCTTAGGATTCTCTAAATACATTATTTTGATATACTTATTAACATATTTATCTGAAAAACTATATAATTATGGATGTCGCGCGCACAATTATTATCATGGTTTTTTTCCTTTTTTTTTCTTTTTTACATCGATCACTTCCACTCATTTAATTTCTACACAGGATGGGCCGCGCAAAGCGTGCTTCCTTTGAAATTGTGTATTTTTTTGGCCAATTTTGAGCCGATTTCTTCTCTACAAAAATGTACACCATCGTTCATATTTCCTTCAGTTAACTGTAAGCTGGCTCTAATGTGACGAAATTCACATTAATTCGAAGCTCAAAGACACCCCCCCTCCCACACACACACACACACACACACACGTCACAAAAATTGAAAAGTCTCAGCAATTTTATATTTTTGACATTCTTGTCTGAGGAGAAATGAGCTCAAAATTTGTCCAAAAGAATCCACAATTCGAAGTAAATCCGCTCGATGCAAAGTATCCTGTACACTGAAGTAATAAATAACTACTACATTGAACCGTGGTTGCGGACAGTTGCAGGTTTCACAACGTAGTACACATACGGATGTACATTACGACTCTAATTATGTTAAAATCGGTAATTCTAATATTAAAACACGTGCGATCCGTTCTTTAACTCGTTCTCAAGGAGGATCTTTATTTGATATCTAAAACAATACTCCTCACTATAGGAAACACGATGTAGGAGGAAAGAAGAAGGAAAAATAAATCAAATGCAGTGCCAAAGGTAACGTTCTAATTCCAATAAAGAATAGCGGGCAACGCTGTTGTGACTAATAACGGAAAATTAATTAATTAATGCAAATATTAATGAGACACATACTGTCCGCCTTTTTCTCCGCTGAACTCCGCGACGAGAAGTTGGTATCTTTTTGTCGATTAGATCCATTTCTCAGATCTGAATTCAATCACAGCCGTTGAGGGTGTCAAAATATAAATCGCAACTTAACTTGTTGCTACGATACCTAATTGTCAGCCCTACAGAAAGATCCCAGATAGCATTTCGTCAACTTGACAGCAAAGTTCGGAACTTCAGACGACTCTGAGATAGAAATAGACGCGAGATCACTCGATTAATCGCTGGTCTCCCGTGCACGTTCACGCAAAGATATGTTCATTGTGTATAATACATGATGTTCATGTTATTATCGTGCGTATAGCGCGCGTCAGATGCATCGCACCGAACCGTTAAATTACAATTCCATCGGGGAGTATCGCGATTATACTCGGTTGTATAATTCGCATATCTCCGACACAGAATGTTATCTGGGTATGATGTAGATATAAATGCGTTAATATATATATATATATATATTAGTATATTATATATATGTGTATATATATATA